ATGTACTGATGCCAATCATAAAAAATGGAAATCCAACAAAAACGATTTATGTTTAACAATTCTATCTAGTACTATGAAGCATAATTATTTTATCCATAGCCACACAGACACACATACATGTATACACACAAACATACATATATACACACACACAGATATATCAGATGTTTTGAATTTTATTTGCCACAAACTATTATTATGACCACAAAAGAAAACATATTCATTCTCTCAGACTTTACAAGTGCTTTTCAAATTCACGATCATGTGCTTATGCAAAATGATCACCCTGATATTTTTACTGGTAGACAGGGAAAACATTCCCACAGTAGCTTGTATACTGAAGACACTCACCAAATATTTGCTGAACAAACGTTGCTTGGAACAAAATCTCATTTAAAAAAAATCAGGCTAGGCACGGTGGCTCACGCCTGGAATCCTAGTACTTTGATTTGGGAGGCTGAGGTAGGTGGATCACTTGAGGTCAGGAGTCTGAGACCAGCCTGGTCAACATGGTGAAAACCCCAACTCTACTAAAAATACAAAAATTAGCCAGGCATGGTGGCGGGCACCTGTAGTCCCAGTTACTTGGGAGCCTGAGGCAGGAGAATCGGTTGAATACAGGAGACAGAGGTTGCAGTGAGCCGAGATCGTGCCATGCCACTGCACTCCAGCCTGGGCAACAGAGCAAGACTTCATCTCAAAAAAAAAAAAAAAAGAAAGAAAAAAAATCAAACTGGGTTTTAATCTAGCTATGCTGGGACAGCCCCACAGTGGCCTGCATAATAATGAATGACCATTCATTAAATAGTTGCTGAATATTGTTTGAAAGATCAAATTATGTAGAACAAAGTTTAAAAACAACTAGGTTTTACATAATAAAATTAAATATACCTACAATATATCAATTCAGGTCTGAAAATATCATGTTGATATCCCAACCTTTTCCAAATGCATAACATTAAAAACATCAGATCAGCACTAGGGTCCCAAGAGTATCTCCACATTTATGTAATCATCATCACATTAGCCCTGACTTCACATAGGCAAATCTTGTTCTGGTGCAAACCAGTCAACAATAAAAGGCTACAGTTAACATCTAAGTTGCTACCATCTATAATTCATTTTGACTACGATAAATCAAATTTTAGCAACCAATCATCAGTTAGATGCCACTATTGAGTCCATAGTAGACTAGATTTCAAATTCAAATGTGTTGGCACTGACTATGCAAACCTACCAGTGTTGTAGTAGGAGCAGAAACAGTTGCTTTCAGACTACTCAGTTCCTGCTGGATTAATTTTTCTTCTTCCTGAGAAAATGAAAATATTTAAACGCTTAATTAACTGTCTTTTAAAACCGTAACAGCATTTATCTAAAGGAAAAAATATAATTTACAATACTTTTAATTTAAAAGAAACATTATTTTAAAGGAGAGTTATAAATATTATGTACTTATGATCTATCTAAAGCCCTATCTCCAAACCTCAGAACCATCCCTGGAGAGAATAAATATTTCCAGGCTACCCCATCCTTCCTCTTTTCTTTTTTTTTCTTTTTTTTTTTTTTTTTTTGAGACAGAGTCTTGCTCTGTGCCCCAGGCTGGAGTGCAGTGGCACGATCTCGGCTCACTGCAAGCTCTGCCCCCCGGGTTCACGCCATTCTCCTGCCTCAGCCTCCCGAGTAGCTGGGACTACAGGCACCTGCCACCACGCCCGGCTAGTTTTTTGTATTTTTTTTAGTAGAGACGGGGTTTCACCGTGTTAGCCAGGATGGTCTCGATCTCCTGACCTTGTGATCCGCCCGCCTCGGCCTCTCAAAGTGCTGGGATTACAGGCTTGAGCCACCGCGCCCGGCCCCTTCCTCTTTTCTTTACTCAGTTACTTCCCCTTAATGGTAGAAGAGCAGAAAATGTTTTTTTAAAAACGAAAGGTGGAGGCCGGGAGCAGCAGCTCATGCCTGTAATCCCAGCACTTTGGGAGGCCAAGGCGGGTGAACCACTTGAGGTCAGGAGCTTGAGACCAGCCTGGCCAACATGGCGAAACCCCGTCCCTACTAAAAATACAAACATTAGCTGGGCGTCCTGTAATCCCAGATACACAGGAGGCTGAGAAAGCGGCAGGAGAATCGCTTGAACTCAGGAAGTGAATGCTGCAGTGAGCCAAGATCGTACCACTGAACTCCAGCCTGGGCAACAGAGCAAGACTCTATCTCAAAAAAAAAAAAAAAAATTAAACGTGAAGAGAGAGTAGAAATTCTCCATGTATTGGCCCAAGAAAAGAGTCTCATCTCACATCTTCCCCTTAGAAGTAAAAAGTCTTCATGGAATTAAGATATAGGGTAAGAAAGCAGAAACAGAAATAAGTCTTTTCCCCTTAAACTACATTCTTCTTCCCTGTCTTTTCCTCATTCCCCGAATCCTTTCCATCACTTCCTATCTCAGACATATACCAATGTGGTCACTTCTACTGTCTGCATTGTATGTTATCTTCCTAAGCACTTAAAAAATTGGCCCAATTTTTTTTGGCTAAAATCATGCTACCTTTAAATTACACACTGAATTACATGTTCATCAGATGGCTATTCAAAAGCCACTAGTGAAGCACTGACACACGTGGATGCCTATCTACAGTTTCAAACTATTTAAGATCAAAAATAACTTTTTAAAAAATTTTATTGAGCATCCCTTAAAAATTAGCAAAGGACAAAAACCTTAAGAAAAACAACATTAAGGCCACAAATGGCCAGGCGTGGTGGCTCACGCCTGTAATCCCAGCACTTTGGGAGGCCAAGGCAGGTGGATCACCTGAGGTCAGGACTTCAAGACCAGCCTGGCCAACATGGCGAAACCCTATCTCCACAAAAAATATAAAAATTAGCCAGGTGTGGTGATGCGTGCCTGTAATCCCAGCGACTAGGGAGGCTGAGGCAGGAGAATCACTTGAACCCAGGAGGCAGAGGTTGCAGTGACCCAAGATTGCAGCACTGCATTCCAGCCTGGGCGATAGAGCAAGACTCCATCTCAAAAACAAAACTAAACAAAGCCCACAAATAATGATTCTGGAATGTGAAGCAGTTTCTCTCCGTATAGCATCAACTTATTTGAGCTGCCAAAAAATAATTTTTTAAACCTTCTTTTCTGTCTTTCCTTCTCTTTTAGCATTTATATTGCATTATAGTCATGCTTACACTTGTCTTAAGCCCAAAACGAATGACCGATTCCTTGGGAAAAGGGAATGTCTTTAATTCTATTTTCCTGTGTCTAACACATAACCTTGTTCCCATAAACATTTGTTGAACAAATAATGACATTAATATGTGCTCTTTTTAAGATATAAACTCCTTGTAGCTGTGAATTGATATACTACACAATCCGTGCAACCATCAAGCACCTGTGGGGGCCCAGCACGGTGGCTCATGCCTGTAATCCCAGCACTTTGGAAGGCCAAAAGGGACGAATCACTTGAGGTCAGGAGTTCCAGACCAGCCAGCCCAACATGGTCAAACATGGTTCCAGACCAGACAGCCCAACCCTGTCTCTACTAAAACTACAAAAATTAGCCGGGTGTGGTGGCGTACGCCTATAATCCCAGCTACTTGGGAGGCTGAGGCAGGAGAATCGCTTGAACCCGGGAGGCAGAGACTCCAGTGAGCCGAGATCGTACCATTGCACTCCAGCCTGGGAGACAGAGCAAGACTCCGTCTCAAAAAAAAAATTTTAAGGCCAGGCGCGGTGGCTCACACATGTAATCCCAGCCCTTCGGGACGCCGAGGTGGGCGGATCACGAGACCATCCTGGCTAACACGGTGAAACCCCATCTCTACTTAAAAAATACCAAAAAAAATTAGCCGGGCGTGGTGGAGGACGTCTGTAGTCCCAGCTACTCGGGAGGCTGAGGCAGGAGAATGGCATGAACCCGAAGGCGGAGCTTGCAGTGAGCCAAGATGGTGCCACTGCACTCCAGCCTGGGCAACAGAGCAAGACCTCATCTCAAAAAAAAAAAAAAAAAATTAAAAAATTGTAAAATCTTAAGGCTCCAGCAAGCCGAGATCGCACCATTGCACTCCAGCCTGGGCGACAAAGCGAGACTCCGTCATTAAAAATTAAAATTTTTTAAAAGCTTAAGAATTTTTATAACTGCTCATTTTCAAAGCCCATTTGAGGCAGAAACTTAGCAAATTTTACATTTTAAGAGAACTATGCTTTTTCTTTGCCCAACACGTTGTTCTAACCCAAGAACCTCAAGCTCCTCAAAGATATTCAACATGAGGCTCACAGGATCTGTTCAGGTATGCGACATCTGAACTGCTGTTCAGTTGAAGGGACGGGGGGAGAGAAGGAAACTGAATAGGGAAAAAAACTTTGTGGAAGGTAAACAATATCTGACACCTCCATCGCACTGGGTATTTTCACACGCTTGACATCTCACCCAATCCTCAAAAACACTATGAATTATGTATCAGTACTTTTCCACGCCAACGTTGAGAAAACACATGGAGGGTCAGAGGTTACAGAGATATGCCCCAGACCAAAGAGTCAGTGTCAGAACCAACTGTGGAAACTCGGCCTCCCTTGCTGTCAGTCCCAGCAGGAAAGTGAAGCTTCCAGGCAGACGAAAGGACGAACCGACACAGCAGCCCCTGAGCCCCGCCGGAGGGCTAACCCCGGAGGCCTTGGAGTCTCGCCGCCCGGCCAGGGCCTCCTGGCGCGGGGGCCTCACTCCGATGTCCCTGAGCTCCCGGGCCAGCGGGCACCTACGTGCTTGGAGGTGAGGGCGGTGATGCCGCGGACGAGGCTGCCTAGCCTCGAGGAGAAGGACGCCTTGGCGGCCGCGGGCCCACCACCTGGCTGGTTCTGCAGAAAGAGTCCCGGCAGCGCCGTCAACGTCTTCTCCACTATGTCGCTCATCGCCGCCGCCCGCGATCCGGTAGCCGCCCGACTTCATGCCCAGCCGCCGCTGCCTGCCCGGCCTCCGTAGGCACTTCCTGTTTTTTGAATAAGAAATCTTTATTGGCGTCCCGCGTGAACCAGTTCAGTGTCGTTCTCGCCAGAGGCCACCAGAGTGCGCAAGAGACCGCGGGGGTGGAAAAGGCCACTCGCCAGAGATTGCGCGCGGAAGTGGACCTCCTTTCTCGCAACGGGGTAGCGGCTCCGGGATCCCCCCAGAACTGTGAGTTCTCCTGAGGAAGCCGCCAGGGGCCTCGCCCTGTTAGGCATTGTCTCCCAGGGTCTCCCTTTCCCACTAGCCGCCTGCGCGTAGCCCGAGACCGCGTCAGGAGTTGCGTCTTCCTGAGCGCGCCTTTTTCGGGACGTCCCCGCCCGGTCCACCGCCTCTCACTGTCCCCGGACCGCGCACCACCCGCCCACTTCCCACAGGCGGTTTCACGCGGGTCCCTGGCGCCGCGCGCGGCTCCGGCCCTGGCGACTCATACCCGAGGAGTTGCGTGATAGCGGAGCTGTCCTGAGGATTCGGCGTGCCAGGTTGAGAGCCCGTCGCGTGCCAGAGACTGGCGGCCACTGTCGCTTCCCGTCCGCCCCTCTTCTCCTGGTATTTGGGGGGTGGACGGGAAAAAGAAGTAGTTGGCGGCCACCCTTGCCGACTCCTCCTCAGCAGGTCGCAGTTGAAAGGTTACCTTCCTGGAGCCCACTCCCCTGTCCCGGCGAGCAAGGACAGGTCTCCACGTCCCACCCTCTCACAGCGCTCGGTTCTGTTCCACTTTAGAACAGGTCGCGGTTGCCACTACGTAAACAGCTCCCCATAGAGTATTTTATTCATGCCGATTGCTCCAGCTTTTACCTAGAACAGAATCTGGTACAGTGGCTCTCGAAATGTGGTCTGCTGACCTCAGGGTCCCTGATACTCTTCTAGGGAATTCACAAAGTCAATATTGATAACGTTTCTTACATGTTATTTGCCGTTTTCACCCTCATTCTGTTGGAAGTGTACAGAGTTTTCAAGAGGCTAGATGATGATTGACTAGCTGGTAAAATGTATGCTGGAGTATCCTTGTGTTTTCTAGAATTTTCTAAGGTAGTAGGTTTAGGGCATAAATATGTGCGTTTTCAGAGATTAATGCAGTTTGCCCTCAATACTCCTAGTGTGTTTCTAGGAGGTAGGTTAGATAGGTGGTCATAGCCTCCCTTCAAGGGGAACAAACTTGCTAAATAAATAGAACAAACCAGCCCATAGTGTACAAACCACATCCCAGGCTCCTGGTTAGAAAATTTTGCAGCAAAGAGGTAGAAGAGCAAAAGGGAAAATCCCCAAATTCTCACAAGTGCAGAAACCCATCAGTATCCTTGGGCTGAATTATACTCATTGTAATAGTAGGGGAAAAAAAAAAAAAAAAAAAAAAAAAAAAAAAAAAACCTGCCCTGGGTGAAGATTTAAGATACTAATAAGACATGCAATGTATATACTAGCATATACAACCACAGCGCACATGGCCCCAGAAAACTAGAGAACATGCTTAATAGCAACACCTGTTCTCCCCTCTTCATGAATGATCCTGTGAGACTCCTACAAAGGGAGTTTCACCAGTATCAGTGCATGCTGTCTCACCTTTGAGCAGCCCGCTCTGATCAGCTGTCAGAGTGTACTTTCGCTTTGCAATAAACTCTTTTGCTTGCTTTTACTTTGGACTTTAAATTATTTTGCACTGCGAAGTCCAGAACCTCAACCAGCCCACCAGCTACAGCTACACTTACAAGCTATCTTCAGTTATACCTGCTCTAATCTCTGTAACCTCCTTGTCACCTAATAAATGAGTTTTTTTTTGAAATCCTGAAGTTGTTCTAATATCTATACGGAAACATAAGAAAAAAGTTCAGTTTGTTGGCTTGTCTCACAAGAATATTTTTTAACATATTGAGAACATTTTAAAATATTTGAACTTTATCTAAAAGGGACACTCATTATTTAATTTTTTTTTTTTTTTTTTTTTTGAGAGTCTCGCTCTATCACCCAGACTGGAGTGCAGTGGCACGATCTGGGTTCACTGCAGCCTCCTCCTCCTGGGTTCAAGCAATTCTCCTGCCTCAGCCTCCCAAGTAGCTGGGATTACAGGCACCCGCCACCACGCCTGGCTAATTTTTGTATTTTTAGTAGAGACGGAGTTTCACCATTCTGACAAGGCTGGTCTCGAACTTCTGACCTCAGGTGATCCGCCCACCTCAGCCTCCCAAAGTACTGGGATTACAGGCGCGGGCCACTGCACCCAGCCGGAAAGGGATACTCCTTTAGAATTTAACTTTTTTTTTTTTTTTTTTTTTGAGATGGTGTCTCGCTCTATTGCCCAGGGTGGAGTGCAGTGGTGTGATCTCGGCTCACTGCAACCTCTACCTCCCAGGTTCAAGCAAATTCTCCTGCCTCAGCCTCCCGAGTAGCTGAGATTACAGGTGCGCGCCACCATGCCCGGCTAATTTTATGTATTTTTAGTAGTGGTGGGGTTTCACCATGTTGGCCAGGATGGCCTCGATCTTCTGACCTCATGATCTGCCCGCCTCGGCCACCCAAAGTGCTGGGATTACAGGCGTGAGCCACCACGCCCGGCCTAGAATTTAATATTTTGTTTTCCGGACACGGTGGTTTATGCCTATAATTCTAGCACTTTGGGAGGCCAAGGCGGGCGGATTGTCTGAGCTCAGGAGTTCCAGACCAACCTGGCCAACATGGTGAAACCTCATCTCTACTAAAAATACAAAATATTCAGATGGGAACGGTGGCTCACACCTGTAATCCCAGAACTTTGGGAGGCCACAGTGTGCGGATCACAAGGTCAGGAGTTCAAGACCAGCCTGGCCAACTCATGTCTCTACTAAAAAAATACAGAAATTAGCTGGGCATGGTGGCGCACACCTGTAATCCCAGCTACTCGGGAGGCTGAGGCAGGAGAATTGCTTGAACCTGGGAGGCAGAGGTTGTAGTGAGCTGAGATACCACCACTGCACTCCAGCCTGAGTGACAGAACAAGACTCCGTCTCAAAAATATATATATATATACAAAAAATTCAGCTGGGCATGGTGGCGTATCTGTAGTCCCAACTACTTGGGAGACTGAGGCAGGAGAATTGCTTGAACCTAGGAGGCGAAGGTTGCAGTGAGCCAAGATCACACCACTATACTCCAGCCTGGGTGACAGAGCGAGACTCTGTCTCCAAAAAAAAAAAGGAATTTAATATTTTATCTTAAAATTAAATTTTGTTTTATGTGTAGTTTTTAAATTTTAGGCTCTTCCATTGGCTTAAAAAGGGGAGACTAGAAGATTGGCTTTCTAACGTTCCCATATGTGAAGATCCTGAAAAAGATGATGCTGACATCAGTATCAGAATTCGCTGAGTCAGGGAAAGGGAGAAATCTGGTTGAAACTATAAATAACAAAGGAAAGTATGACAAAAGCTTCTTTCTTTCCCTTGGCATTAGAGATGTTAATCACTTGCCTTATTTTATCTCATTCAATAGAACATTTTCAAATACTATTGTAGTGCCAATCAAGTTGACACATCGTTTTCAGACCAGTCAGAATTTAAAAGAAAGGGAATTGAATATTTTCAACATAGACATGATATGCTTTATAAAAGCCAAAGCTTTTGTATTACCATTTTCAAAGTAGAAATAAAAAAACCTACTGAAGCATCTTACACATGAACTTATTATATTTCATTCGTTGGAGAAGGACATGCAATAGCTAAAAGACTAATGAATGCCTGCTAGATGATAATCAGTAAAAGAAATCATAGGAGTGCTACTTACCAAAGATGCAGTAACTCACCAAATTAGACATTTAGTTGCAGGCCGGGTGAGGTGGCTCATGCCTGTAATCCCTGTATTTTGGGAGGCCAAGGCAGGCGGATAACTTGAGATCAGGAGTTTGAGACCAACCTGGCCAACATGGTGAAACCCTGTCTCTACTAAAAATACAGAACAATTAGCTGGGCCTGGTGGTGCATGCCTGTAATCCCAGCTATTCGGGAGGCTGAGGCTGGAGAATCACTTGAACCAGGGAGGCAGAGGTTACAGTGAGCTGAGATGGTGCCACGGCACTTCAGCCTGGACAACAGAACAAGACTCTGTCTCATAAAAAAGAAGGAATTTAGTTGCAAACATAAAAACTGAGTTAATATCTCGTCTGCAGAATTATAATTCCTTTAAAATGGACACAATTATTCATGTAGCTGGACTTGTTACTTTGCTTATATCCATCCAGTGTCAGCACCAACTAATTCTTGAAGATCTTCTTTTACATAAATCTTGACAAGAAACACAAGTGATGCTGAAATAATGTATTGACCAACTTCTTTGAATCTCATAGTTTATCCTGGAACAATACACTCACATTTTTTTAAAGTCAGTTTTACTTAAGAATATCCTTGATGATGCAGTAAGAATTCTTAATTTTATTAAATCTCGGTCTTTGCACTTTTTAAAAAAATTTTTTTGTGACAAAATGGAAAATACTCATAAAGTATAAACTCTTAAATCCTGAGGCTTTTTTTTTTTTTTTTTTTTTTGGCCAGGTGTGGTGGCTCAGGCCTATAATCCCAGCACTTTGGGAGGCTGAGGTGGGCGGATCACCTGAGGTCAGAGGTTTGAAACCAGCCTGGCCAGCGTGGTGAAACCCTGTCTCTACTGAAAATACAGAATTAGCCGGGCGTGGTGGCACATGCCTGTAATCCCAGCTACTTGGGAGGCTGAGGCAAGAGAATCGCTTGAACCCAGGAGGCAGAGGTTGTGGTGAGCCGAGATCATGGCATTGCACTGCAACCTGGGCAACAAGATGAAACTCCATCTCAAAAACAAAACAAAACAAAACAAAATCCTGAAGCATAACTGAGATAAGATAGTTTCTCAAGGAAAAGCATTTGAATCATTGTTTAACTTCAAAGCTGAACCGGCGGGTGCGGTGGCTCATGCCTGTAATCCCAGCACTTTGGGAGGCCAAGACGGGCGGATCACGAGGTCAGGAGATCAAGACCATCCTGGTTAACACAGTGCAAACCCCGTCTCTACTAAAAATACAAAAAATCAGCTGGGCGTGGTGGTGGGTGCCTGAAGTCTCAGCTACTCGGGAGGCTGAGGCAGGAGAATGGCGTGAACCCAGGAGGCGACAAAGCTTGCAGTGAGCGGAAATCACGCCACTGCACTCCAGCCTGGGCGACAGAGCGAGACTC